CCGGAACCTTGTGGATCCAGCTGGGTAGTCTACTCTAACGCAACACCTGGGTCACCAGAATTACTCCCAGACGAGAGAGGGGAGAAATGGTAATTTAATCCCTTTGAATCCCCCCTTGTTTGCGGAGCCCACAAATAGCAAGCAACGAAGAACAAAAATCTCTTAGATTGTCACAGGTTTCCTTGATTTGAACCGTGACCAAACACATGTTGATTCTTTATTCTTGAGATGTTGCATGCCCCGCTTCTACAACAAGAACATGCACTATCACTGCTAAATCTCTCAACAAACCAACCGGAGGGAGACCATCCAAGGAAGGGCTAATGGTGGTACGCTCTCCCAAACTAACCCAGCAATCCGCAAGTGGCTTTGGACTAGGAGCTGTGGTCGATCAAGGCTAGAGGTATCCTGCCTAAAACAAATCCTCTTTCCAAACATGGCACTTCTGCCGCTTGACGACCTGCGACGGGTAAACTGTACAAACAACGCCGACATATCACCCAACCAAAACCCCATGAAGTGAAGGTCCTGGCACCAAACTCAAACGACCGGGACCGTGGGGCAGAGATCGGCCAGCGCCACAGCACCCTTCGTCACCAGGGGGTTGTCTGGCCAGACGTCGAAGCCCAGCGCCGTCATGAGGCCTCCGCGACGTGACTGCATCGGCATGGCACGGCTGGCACGGATGGACAGTTTGGGGATTTGTGCAAAAAGCGGCTACCACCTCTACAGAATTCGGCCAACGTTGCCTATGTTTGCACACTTGGTGTGGCTAGCCCGAACTTATGTTTCAGGACTTGCAGCAAATCATGAACTCACCCTCGATCGAGAAAGTCCCAGCTGCAGTCAACTTAGGTTAGACCTACGATCTGTTCTGCTTGACTTCCCTAGTGCCAGCCACTTCCTAAACATTACCGCCTTCATGACCTGGGCGGACGAAGACTTTGTGGGAAGGATTAGCCGAGCCGAGTGAGCCGAAGTACCGCCCCTCAAACGGCAGCGCAAAGAACGCTGGCTGAGCGTCAGGCCTTGCACGTTGCCTTCCGAACTTGTGCACGATGTGCATGGACATTGGCAGTGAAGGGGCGGCAGAAAAGGGATGAGTGGGATCTGGCGTCCAGAGTGAGTGTGAAATAAGGTAGTGGGGGGATCCAAATGGCCAGCTTTCAACACCATTACAATATGACTCGAGCACTTATTATTGATTCGGATCTTTTCGTTGAAATCGAGCGCTTTCTGCAGTTCGAGCGCATTTGGATTCGGTACGCAAAAAAATGTATCAATGGAAGGTACAGGATTATAATATAAATTGATACTGATACTGTAATAAAAATATGGCAGCGGAAACGGTAAACGAATCGAAACGAACCGAAAAAACATGAAACGCTAAACGAACCGAACCGACTCGAAAAAATAAAAATAACACGAAACGAACCCCGCCAAAAAATAAAACGAAACGAAACGAAACGAAACAAAAAAAACACGAAACGAAACGTGCCTAAACTATTTAAAAAGGAAACTAAACGAAACGTAGGTTTTCTGTAGTAGTAGTAGTAGTAGCAGTAGCAGTAGCAGTAGCAGCAGCAGCAGCAGCAGCAGTAGTAGTAGTAGTAGTAGTAGTTAGTAGTATTAGTATTGGTATTAGTATTAGTAGTAGTACTGGTATTAGTATTAGTATTAGTATTAGTAGTAGTAGTAGTAAGTAGTTAGTAGTAGTAGTAGTAGTAGTAGAAGTAGAAGTAGAAGTAGAAGTAGAAGTAGAAGTAGAAGTAGTAGTAGTAGTAGTAGTAGTGGTAGTGGTAGTGGTAGTGGTAGTGGTAGTGGTAGTGGTAGGTAGTAGTAGGTAGTAGTATGAAGTAGGTAGTAGTAGGTAGTAGTAGGTAGTAGTAGGTAGTAGTAGGT